TCTCCTCGTTAGTCCAGTGGTCTTCCAGTAGTGTGGCTTTTAATCTCCATGAGGTAGGATAGTTCCTTGCCTTCTTTTTATGATTTATTTCTAGTTTGATGCCTTCGTGGTCAGAAAAGATGGTTGGTATGATGTCAATCTTGGTGTATCTGTTGATGTTTGTCTTGTGCCCCAGTATGTGATCGATCCTGGAGAATGATCCATGTGCGCTTGAGAAAAATGTGTACTCCGTTTTTTTTGGGTTTAGTGTTCTATAGATGTCTGTTAAGCCCAAATGCTCTAGGTCCTTATTTAGAGCTTTAGTTTCTTTACTTATTTTTTGTCTTGTTGATCTATCCATTGTTGATAGTGGTGTGTTGAAGTCTCCCACTACATATGTGTTTTCTCTGATGTCTGTTTTCAGAGAGGACAACAGTTGTCTGATATATTTTGGTGCTCTTTCGTTTGGTGAGTATATGTTAATGAGTGTTATTTCTTCTTGAAGTATTGTCCCCTTAATCATAATGTAGTGACCATTGGGGTCTCTTTTTATTTTTTTGAGTTTGAAGTCTGTTTTATCTGATATAAGTATAGCTGTTCCTGCTTTCTTTTTTGGCCCATTTGCTTGTAGGATTGTTTTCCATCCTTTGACTTTGAGCCTATTTTTATCTTTTGTAGCTAAATGTGTTTCCTGGAGACAGCAAAAGGTTGGGTTTTGTTTCTTAATCCAGGCTGCAACTCTGTGTCTTTTTATTGAAGAGTTTAGTCCATTTACATTTAGAGTTAATATTGATATGTTAGCATCTGTATTTGCCATTATGTTTGTCTTTCAAAAGGAAACATTTTTTATAGAAGTCTAAACTTTTCTCCCAATTTATAATAATCCACATTTTTAAATATTTACATGAACTGAGTAATATTCTTCCACATTTTGCTCCAGGATTCAGGATTACTATTTTAGCTCCATTGACATTAGGACTGAGCATTTCTAGAGAGAAAGCATCCATTGTGTTGATCCAGTGTTTCCAAATCTGATGAGTAAGAATAGAGATATCAAGCTTGAATTTGATGGGACATGGTAGCGGCAGAGGGCTAGAGTCCTTCATGGTAGCAGAATTTCTGCAGATCAGGGGTACTGCAGCTTCTGCCCGGAACTGCAAAGGTGTCTTGGGTCACCTGTGCTCAGCTCCTAAAGGTGAGCTGTTCTTATTTCTCAATGCTTAGTGTCACTTGAAACAAGTGACTATAATTATGCAAACTTTTAAAAATGAGCTATAATTAATATGAAACATCCTATTAGTTTGAAATGTACAGCGTAATGATTTAATACTATGTATACGCAAAATGCTCACCACTGTAAGTCTAATTAACACCTGTCACCATAGTTTCAAATTTTTTCTGTAATGAGAACATTCTAAATGTTCTGTTAAAATTTTCAAATATTATAGTATTATTAACTCAGTCACTATGCTGAACATTACATCCCCCTGACTTACTTTATGCTGGAAGTGTGTGCATTTTGGCTCCCTTCACCTATTTCATGTTTACTTTTCCTACCTGGTGTTTTTCCTTCATCTGAAAACATAATTGTCTTTTCTCAAAATTGCAGCCCTATTTCTGAACCATCTGCATTGGACCAAAGTGATCGCAACCCTCTTTATCTAGCGCAATGTTGACTTGGCTCCCAAGACATTAAATTCTGGTTTGACTCCGATCTCATAGGCTGTTCCTCTTAATTTCTTCTGTTTGCTTCTCTTGAGGATCTGATTATTTAACATTGGTATGATTCAGGGCTCATCCTGTTGACTTCTCTACTTGTAACTGCTGATTTCTCAGCTTCAGGCTTTAAATCCCATTTTAAATACTGAAAATTTACAAACTGCTGTCTACTAGACATGTTCCTGAACTCGACTCAGCATAGCACTTAGAAATCCAGTAATTCACCATCTTCAAAACTGAGGTCCTAATTATTATTATTATTATTTTTTTGGTTTACATACTTTCCCCCTCCCCAAATGTTATTGATTTGCCAGCAGATTGCCTTGTTATCGAATTTGGGTAGCTTGATTTCATGCCTCTGTACTGCACATGCCTCACTCACTCTCCACCAGAGCTCTCGTGCCAACACCTTGTCATCATCCCTCCCTGGGGTCCTCTCCTCCCTTGTCTCCCTCCAAGCCCTTCTTGTAGCCGTTGTATTTTTCAATCTAATAATTATTGCATTTTGCTACTTGGTTTTCTTTGGTTATTTATGTTTTGAAAACATTTGGCTGCTGTCTTTTAATTTTCGACTTCTTTTACCTAGCATAATCACCTCAGTATCCACCCATGTTGTCCAAAAGGCACTGCTTCATCTTTCTTGGTAGTGGGTAGTATTCCATTGACTATGTAGTCCACAGTTTATACGGTTGTCCTTCGGCAGCCATTTATATATATATTGGTTCCATGACTTGACTTGTGAATAATGCCGTCATGAACATAAGGAGTGGAGTGCATAAATCTTTTCGTGCATTATTTCTTAAAGAGTTATTTATTTTTGCATAGAAAAATTGGGGTTTAGGCCAGAGGTGTGGATGGTGAGAGGAATCACCAGAGACAGAGAGGGGAGCAGAACAGGCAGATGTATTGATATACACTGCTGAGGGGAGCAGCAGGCGAGGCAGGAGAGGTCTGCTGTGCTATGTGGGTCAGCTCTCTGGCCTAGGATCAAACTCAGGCCGCAGCTGTGCTAGTGCTGAGACCTAACCCGTAGGCCACCAGGGAAGCTCAGTGTATTTTATCTTCTTGATGAATTTTGCCCAGTCTTTCACTTTAAGTCTGTGTTTATCTTGAGATCTGAAGTGAGATTCTTGTGTGCATACTATTAATGAGTCCTGGATTTTTGGTCCAGTCTGTGAATCTGTGTCTTTTTAGTTGTGAATTCAGATCATTCACATTTAGGGTGATTATTAATGCATGAGGCTTGTTTACTGCAGTTTGACCTTTTGCTTTTGGTTGTTTTATATCTTTCTGTTGTTTCTTTTACTATCATTTCAGTTTCCTCTGGTGGTTCTCTCAGCTTTTTCATTTCTTCTAAATGTCTCAAGATTTTTGATTTGTGGTTACCATAAAAGTTGTATCAAGCATTCTCCATTTAAAATAGTCCTTTTTGTGCTGATGTTCATTCATCAGCTTTGACTATGAATATTCTGTCCTTTGATTCCTCCCTTAATATTTTGTTGTTGTCTCATGTTATTCCTTTTATACTACCCCCATGTTATACCGGCCACCATCATCTCTTGCCTGCATTCTTGCCACAGCCTCTTTACCAGAATCGCAATTACGGCTTATTCTTACTTTAAGGTTTTATATTTGTTTCCTTTGCTTGAGTTACATTTTCTCTAGTATTCTATGCATTCTCTTACTCTCTGTGATTATTAAATGTTCCTTATCAAAATTGCAAGTATACTTCTGCAAGAGCAATTTCTCTCCACTGGTATTCTTCTCTAAAACACTTTTTACCATTTCTTATTCTATATACTTAAATTATTAATTTTCAGTATCCATTAAATAGAATATAAGTTTCATGAGTGCACTAGATTTTTGTTGTTTTTATCTCCACTGCCTAAAATAAACACTGGCCCATTGAATCTGCCTCTGCATTTTCTTGGCAGTCATATGAAAATCTGAATAAGATGGATTGTATAATTCTCATGATCACGTATTACTGTAAATTAAAAAAAAAGTTGCCTTATGCTGAATTATTCAAGAAATATATATGGTGTAGCCTGTAAAGTATATAGTAATAAATGTGAAAAATTAGTTTTAACAATAAATCCAGTGATATTATTCCTATTTTTGTCTTTTATTTTAATACTGTTTAATGACTAAGGGCATGTTATGAAAGGTATGTATCCAAAGATATAAGATGTCTCTATTTAAAATATTTTGAGTTTTTTAAAGAAATGTGTCAGTTTGACATTCTTGTATACCATGTGAAAGCACTCAGACATAAAACATTTAAACATCACACTACAGTGTCAGCATTATAGATGGACAAAATTAAAAATAAATTTCCCCTGAATTCTTTTTATCACTTGTTAGTAAGTCACTTCTGTAGAATGATGTTTTTCAGAGTCAATTTTAAATGATACAAGCATAAATTACCACAATAAGAAAGGTACAAGCAGATATGCATTACAGCATATTCTGAAATATTGTTAACTATGTTTCCAATGAACTTTGATTTTATGAAAGTAAGATACAAAATGTCTGCCTCTATTTTTACCTACAAAAATGTAAATGGGGCCTCCCTGGTGGCGCAGCGGTTGAGCGCTGGGTTAGCGAAGCTGCCCGCAGCCTCTGCAGCGCCGGTTCGATCCCCGGCTGCTCCCCGGCCACCGGAGGAGGGTCCCACATGGCGCGCAGACCTCTCCTGCCGCCCGCTGCTCCCCTCAGCAGTGTACTTCAGTTCTTCTGCCTGCTCTGCTCCCTGCTCTGGTGAATTCTCTCACCCTCCCGTGCTTCTGACTGTACCCAGTGCTTGTATAAATAAATAAAAATAAATAAATCTTTAAAAAAATAGTTTAAAAAAAGTGTTAAAAAAAATGTAAATGGAATAAAATGCACCAAAATGTTAGCTGCTTTTTTTTGCTCTTTGTAAAAGTATGGATGACTTTTATTTTCTCACTTTTATATGATTTCAAGAGGTCTACAGTGTTTGTAAAACTTTTATATTGATAAGAGATGTAATAAATAAAATTTTCAAATTATTAGAACTTCTTCCATTTCTGTATTTTGCTATTTATTGTCTGATGACCATGGCTTATATTTTACCAGTCTTAAATAGACCACTAATAAGCAATGATACTCATTTTCAATAATGATATGTGATATAATTTTAGCAAACTTGTTTTCTCAGTTTTTTTTTAAAGGAAATGGTATGAGGTTGTAACATTGTTTCCAGAGTGTGTTACTGGGTTTATTGTTCTCAGTTCAGTTTTTTAAAGTACACATCAGATTGTGTTTTTTCCCCCCCACAGACAGCCTTTTGATTGACTATCAGTTTACATTCAGCTTGTTACAGGAAGATGATCGTCATCATACTGCCATAAACTTCATAGCAAACCCAGAGCAGGTAAGATGATTTAGTTCTTATAATATCATTATGTTAATACCCATAGATACAACTTTTCCATCATCTTTCATTATAATTTTACCTGTTAGAATTACCACACTGTAGGAAGAAGATGAAGAAAATGTGTCTATAATAATACAATATCCATCTAACAAGAAGTCTTTCTATGAAACTATCTTGCTGTAAAATTACTTTGGACTAAACCAAGCCTACATCATTTTAGATGTAATTATAGTTAAGCAAAGATAATTGAACACAGACTCCTCTGCTTACATACAGATGTCCAAATTACAATTAAGGATATGAATGAAAACTTTAAATCTACCTATGAACTTTTCTGTTATATTTTTTAAAATAAAAAAGTAGAGTTGACATCTATACTTATTCAGTTGAATATTGACTTAATATGTGGAGTTTGAGAATTATGACATGAACCAATTTAAAAAATGAGATTAAACATAACTATCTAGTGTAACTTTTTTAACCTTAATATTTTCTTTCCTGGTAGTCAAACAAAAATTTGGATATTTCAATCAACGCATCAAACAACTTTAATCTCAACATTACATGGTCAGTTGGTTCAACAGGTAAGAGAGTTTTAGTGTCATCTTTTACATCTGTTCCTGTGGAAGATGTTCTGACGTGGCCTTTTACTATTTAAATAATTGAAAATCTAGGAAATTATATTTCACAATGTGCTGTTTCAGATAAAATAATAAGTAGCACTGTTAATAAATCTTCATATTTTGTTTAACTTTCAACCTTCTCCAATTAAGATTAGATGGCTAACAAATATTCTATACTACTCAGTTTTTACAAATGCCAGTGTTAGGAAACATTCTGATTTTAATTAAGATAGTTTTTTTTTTTTAAAACTACTGAAAACACAGATTTTAATTATTTGTTCCACAATTGTTTGCTTTACAGCCAGAAATTTAATTATTACCCTTAATATTGATATGCAACAATGAAAGTCTTCTGTGCATGCTGATAAATTAGCAACTTAATTCTACTTTCAAGCTGAAAGTTGAAATTGTTGACTTTTAAAATATGTAATTAAGAAGAACTATAAATCTAAGTTTGATTATGAAAAAGCATGCTTATATTTTTTCCCCTGTATATTTCAGGAAAGGCTTTTGTTTTCAATCTTCTATAGCCAAGAGATAGACCACTGCATACATTTAAAACAATATTTGGATTCTTAGAAATCAATATCTGATTTCTGAAAATTAAGATACAGTGATATTTTAATATGTAGAATTAAGGGAACATAGAATTCCAGAGCAAAGAGATGTTTGCAATTCTTGAACCTGTAATATTTGTGTAAAAATGAGTATTTCAGGCAAATATATAGACATTTTGTTATGATAGTACCAGACACATAATAAAATCCTTGGTGATGTGATTTTTGTTTATTAAAAATTCATGATAGTTTGTACTGTTAACCTGAAATTTACTTTTGTAGAATAAACTGAATGCAAGAATTTTAACATTTGTGTACAAAATGTATAAAATCTTTATAATCATGGTAAAAGTGATTTTTGCATGTAAGAATCACTTGTAACCTTGAAATTCCTAGATCCAAATCTCAGAAATGTATCAGCTTGGGAGATGGGATCAAGATACCTGCATTAAAAAAAGAGCAACCAAGCTAATTTTGTAACAGATGATTAGAAATTAATTCAGTTGCTCAGTGGAACACAAATTCTTATTATTTTTACTCTTTGTTAAGGTGGAGGACTTGGTAAAATTATTGGAAATGCTTTGTTCCACTAAGTTAATTTCAGTAAATATTTATTGGGTTCCCAAATTGTGTTTAACTAATTGAACACTTAGCTCTTGTTTTAAATTGTAGCCTCCTCCCAACTGAATGAAAGTAGTGATGGGTCTGTCTGTGGCAAGACAAATAAATTGATTTCTTTCCCAATTTTTAATTGGATTGAGACATGTGAAAATATTTCCTGATTTATTTTAAAAGACTGTGAAGTAGTAAATAGGAAAAACTTGATTTCTGGAGCCATATGTACCTGTGTTCAAAAGAGGGGTTTACAATTCTGTAGCTGTAAGTTCCCTCAAGTGCTTTAATTTTCTGAGGCCCAGGATTCAATTAGAAAAATAGAGATGAAATACATCTGGGATAAAATTGTTATAAAAGAATGTAAAGTCTCAAAGTCAGTGGTTAGCACAAAGCAATTGATCAGTGGTATTTAAAAATTAATTTTTAACTAATCTATTTTCATTATGTGTGGAAAATCTTATTTTCTTTCATATTCTAATTATAAACAGTTTATATTGATGATTATCTTTTTATAAGTAAATTTACAAACATCAAGTAAATGTAGTATTTTTTTAAGTTCATAAGGATCTCTGTTTCCTGATATGAATTATTTAAATTTGTTATTATCATTTACATTTTAGCTGGAACAATATCTGGGGAAGAGACTCCTATAGTTTCCAAGACTAATGTAAAGGAATACAGAGATAGTTTTTCCTATGAAAAATTTAACTTTAGAAGCAATCCTAACATTACATTCTATGTCTACGTCAGCAACTTTTCCTGGCCTATTAAAATACAGGTAAGTTCAATAATATTTTATATAATGACTGTTGAATATTTTCATTACAAAAAGAATGCCTTTTTTTTAAAGTGATGATGGAGATAGATATCTATATTTCATACAATATGAAAACACATATTGGTCCTTGGTAAAGAAGACCATGAATGTCTGTGATCACATCTCCATAAAAATCTCACATAAATAATATTATCAACATGAATTTATTTATCAGTGAAATTATATTCTGAAAAATGCATGAAAATTTGAAGTAATGTGACTGTATGGGTTTTCTGAGCAACTGTACACTTTTAACTGAGGGTTAAGTAAATACCCTTTTCTTACAACCCCACTGGAACTTATTTGCTATGCTTAGTAATCTCATTTTTGCTGTATTATATAGTGCACATAATCTTAACTTTCAATAAAAATGTAGGATTCTCAGTATTTAAGAGTTCCTTAAGGTCCATCACCTCTCACCATTGAATTCTTTATCTGTGCTACTTGCAAGCTTTATGTTTCATTTTTATTGTATTTAATCATAGACTACTAGGGCATCAGCTTTATTGTGAGGAGACATTAGGATATTCCTTCTATGTTGAAATAGTCGAGGTCTGTGTTCTTTTTCTTGTAGGAGACAGAGGCCTGTGTGTTATAATGTTGGGACTTGTTCACTTAGCATTTTATCACTGACTGAGTTGGTTGAATTCATCTTAGTTTTTTGAATAGTTCCTTTGTGCTTAACCCTGAGCTAGGCCCTAATGTTTAAAAATCTTAAAAAAAAAAAACTATACATCTTTCCTTCTTCTTTTCAATTAATAAAGATCCACTTATCTACCTCTAGAAATGTTTTATTTGTTTTAATTTCTGTGTGATTTGTGAGAAGACTGAGTGAATTTTTTAAAAAAATTATGTTTACTGGAAAAATTATTTGTAAGGTTTATTTAACATTTAAAATAAGGAAATAACTGTTCAAGAACTATTAGTACAAATTTCTGTTACAATCATTTCTGTCCACATAGTTGAAAAAAAATTGTACTTTGAGAGTTCTGGGTGTGTCATCTTATTTTCTAAGACTTATATGGAAATATTGATCCAATTTTACTTGGTTTATTTATTATGATTGAAGGTGACAAAAGGCTTATCTATAAACAGAACTTATTAAGTAGTAATGCAAATGGATATAATTATCATAGTTTTAATTGCTTCATGCCCTTTGTTTCTTGGTTTTGTAATTATATTTTATTTTTAAACAAACTACATGAGAATGCTCATGAGTATTTAATGGTTGGGAATTAACTTTCTATAAATGATTTTATTTGGAGAACATATTAGAAATATGTTCTGGAAGCCAAACCATTATTTGTGTAATGAAATATTCTACTCTCCCAAATAATAAATGCAAAAATTAATTGTGATTGTCAAAACAGGTAGAGCCTGACTCCTATACTTTTATTGAAATCATTACATTTATCTTAAGAAACATTAATTAAGATACAAATATGTGTTCATAGCACTGTAGTAAACTTTCAATTAGAAATTTACCATGGCTAATTTTTTGAGATTAAAACATTTTTAATTTATATTCTTCCTTTTCTATTACTTGATCTTTTTTATTTGGTGAAGGGAATGAATTTTCTTGCTCTTTAATAATTAGTCCTTTCCCAGGAATGTCTAACATTTAAAGAGTCTTATGTCTTTAATTTTGTCTTATCTCAAATTTTTGGTAAGTGTTTTAGAAAAAAGAGTCTTGTAAACATCTACATGGACATGGACAAGTTTTAATTTTGCAATTAGGGAAGGATTTACTTTTTGTCTTATATAAACAATGTCAAAAATCAATCTTATTAAAAATTTGTTAACTCCAGTGCATTTAAAATTTCAAACTGGGGCCTCCCTGGTGGCGCAGCGGTTGAGCTCTGGCCTGCGAAGCTGCCCGCAGCCTCTGCATTGCTGGTTCGATCCCGGGCCGCCAACGAGGGTCCCACATGGCGCACAGACCTCTCCTGCCGCCCGCTGCTCCCCTCAGCAGTGTATATCAGTTAATCTGCCTGTTCCGCTCCCTTATCTGGCTCTGGTGAATTCTCTCACCCTCCCGCGCTTGTGACTGTACCCAGTGCTTGCATAAATAAATAAATAAAATCTTAAAAAATTATTAAAAAAAAATTCAAACTGTTCATTTTTAATATTTAATATTGAATGCAGACAAATTCTGATCTTAAAACTCAGAAAAGATTGTTTTAAGGTTTAGTAAGCTGATATTAAAAGATAGCTCAAATTACTTTGTGAACTGGAAAGGTCAGTGGCCACCTTTGTCTTTTCCACTTTTGCCCATTGTGAGAACACTGCTATTGTGTTTAGAATAGTTAGATACATTTCTTTCCATTAATGCAAACATCTACCCCAATGTTCTTGCCTAGTTTTTAACAGTATAATATGCTACATAGAATGTGATACATCATTATTTGTAAAAGTCTACACATAGGTACTACCTCATTTTCCATTATACATACATATTTTCAATATTATATTGGTAGAATGGGGATTTAGTAAAATGTGTATATCTTAATTACAAAGCTTGCTGACTCCATCAAGATGCAGAATGTTTCCAGCATGCCAGAAGGCTCCTTCAGACCTATCTTTATCAGTGTCCTACCCCAGAACCATTATTGTCACAGTAGCCAGATATTACTTGGCCCTGTTCTTGAACTTCACGGTTGTATTGTCAAAACTGTTTTTGTTTCTTACCTATTCCTATTCCTTTCCTGAATTTCTAAATTTTATTTTTATGAGCGGTTTTGTTACTCTATGAAACATTATAGTGTGAATTACCTGACCAGCTGCCCTTGTGATTAAAGCCTGCATGTGAGTAAAGCTCAATTAAAAGGCAACTTATGACTTTAATGTATTTACATTGTTTCTGCTAAAATCCATTGGTTCCATGATTTTTTTTTGTAACCCTTCCCAGGCACCTTGTTTAGGTGATTTGTGAGAGCAGTCTATTTACCCAGAAATAAGTTTTATTTTTTGATTTTTTAAATGTTTTTGAAAATGTTTAAGGAATAAGCATTTTTGTTGAGGATTTTTATTTTACTTTTGTATTATAACAATTCTTGCATTTCTTATTATTGAGTAGTATGTATTATAAAATTATTTCTGGGCCTTCCTGGTGGCACAAGGGATTAAGTCTCAGCACTATCAAGCTGTGGCCAGCTACTGCAGCATGAGTTTGATTCCCAGCCAGGGAGGGAGGTGACCCACATGGCTCAGCAGACCTCTGCTGTTCTACCTGCTGCTCCCCTTAGCTGTGTATTTCAGAAAATCTGCCTGTTCTGCTCCCCACTCTGACTCTGGTGAATCCTCTCACCCCCCCGCACTTCTGGCCTACACCCCAGTTCTTGTATGAATAAATAAATAAAAATATATCTTTAAAAAATTCTCATATCATCAAAATCTTATCTTACTAATTAAATTCTGGAAATCAAGTAAATGATTTTTTTCTGTATGTTACATAGTACATCTACCAAAGTAGGAATTTTTAAGTAGTCAGCCATTTCTACACCATCATGCAAGCTTTTTTTTCTTTTTAAAGATTTATTTATGCATACAAGAGCTGGGGTGCAAGACCAGTGATACAGGGGGTGAGAGGATTCACCAGAGACAGAGTGGGAAATAGAACAGGCAGACTGACTGAAGTACACTGCTGAGGGGAGCAGCGGGTAAGTCAGGAGAGGTCTGCTGCGCCATGTGGGTTGCTCCCTGGCCGGCCAGGCATCGAACTTGTGCTGCAGAGGCTGCGGATTGCTTCATAGTGCAGTGCTTAACCCCTTGCACCACCAGGGAGGTCCCCATTATGCAAGCTTTAATTTGAGATCTTCTGATGTTTTATATATTATTTGATCAACTGTGTATTTAAGAAAGCTCTTATAATTAAAATTTTTTTTAAGATTTATTTATTTATGCAAGCACTGGGGTACAGTCAGAAGCACGGGAGGGTGAGAGAATTCACCAGAGCCAGAGCAGAGAGCAGAACATGCAGACTGACGAAGTACACTGCTGAGGGGAGCAGTGGGCGGCAGGAGAGGTCTGCGCGCCATGTGGGACCCTCGCCCAGAGGCTGGGGATCGAACCGGCGCTGCAGAGGCTGCGGGCAGCTTTGCAACCCAGCACTCAACCGCTGCGCCACCAGGGAGGCCCAGCTCTTATAATTTAAAACAAATCATTCTAATTTTTTCCCCCAAATAATGTTTATTGAGGTATAGTAGGTTTACATCTTTGTAGCTGCTCTGGGGGTTATAGTTTCAATTCTCCACTAATGTTTACCTTCACACCCTGCCCATGCCTGGTGCCCCAACCATCTGTATTGCATTCTGTTGGGTTACCCCCATTCCATTGCCCTCCTGCTCTGGTTGCCTCTAAGTAAAATAGTAATAAGAAGAAAGACAAATATCAGATGGTTTTGCTTATACATGGAATATAGAAAACATAATAAGGGGTCATTCAAAACCAAACCAATAATCATTCTAATTTATTTTTAAAGATTATTTATACAGGAACTAGGGTAAAGGCCAGAAGCGCGGGAGGGTGAGAGAATTCACCAGAGACAGAGTGGGGAGCAGAACAGGCAGACTGACTGAAGTACACTGCTGAGGGGAGCAGTGGGCAAGATAGGAGAGGTCTGCCTCACCATGTGGGTATCTCCCTGACTGGCCGGGCAACGAACCCATGCTGCAGAGACTGGATACAGCTTCACAGTGCTGTGCACAACCTGCTGTGCCAACGGAGAGGCCCAATAATTATTCTAATTTTAAACAATTTTTCTTTGTCTTTGATAGAGTATTTTTGATCCCAATCACTTTAGCACTCAAATATCCTCAAAATTCTAATTGTCACTCTAATATACATGGCAGTGTTATATGATAAATATGCCAATAATCTAGCAATTTGACAAGAAAATATTCTGTTATTTTGGAATGTTGGGAATCATGCTGCTGAGTTGATTTGCATCAATTTCTAAAGTGAGTTTTATATTTTGGTAACACTTATTCTTCATGACATAATGCCATGCAATTGAATCTTGACAATAAAAAGGGAAAATATTACTACTACAACCACAAAGCTAAAAACTTGTAAAACAAAAAGCATGCATGAGCTTAAGTATTTGTATTCTGTAATAGTGCTACTCATCAACATTTATACATCACCGTTTAAATTAAATTAAATTAGATTGAATCTAAATTACCTGTTTCTGAGTAAATGGGGTTTGGTAATTCACTATTAAAGTCAATCTGCAAACTGATGTCATAATTTAGATTTGATTTTGTTTTATGAGAATGATGCTGGGAATCATTCTTCAATTTGCAATTCTAATTTCTATAGTAGACTAGGTGATATCCCCTTACTAATAATGGTTAAGTTATAAAAAGCAAAATAGGAAAAGAACTGAAATCCTAATGCTGACTTCTGTAAAATTTTATCATGTGTTAGTGTTCTGAACATAGAAGATGAATTATTGGAGCACAAAATAATATGCTAAGCTATTAGTTAAGTAGATGTTGAAGTAAAGAGGAAGTTTCATCATATGGATATAATATTAAAAATGTGTTATAATAAACTTGTGCTGATAAGATGTGCTTATGTAATTTTCCCCAAATTATCCCAAGGTAACATTACTCTTCTTATTTATTGTTGTTGCTTTACAGAAAGTTTGTTGATTCCTTATTTAAAATATTATTATGAATGCTGTCTTTTTTAAAAAGAATATTTTTTTGCATACTCAGTTTGTTTTTAATTGAGGTAGCCTTAGATCACATTGTCGTTGTCTAGGAGAAGTATTGGATCGCCCCCTTCAGGTGTGGCAGTCTAATTGCTGGCATTAAAGAAGGCTTAAGGATCAAATAATGACTTTCTAAGGAAAAGTCTTAAAAAGAAACATTTTAGTCAAAACAAATCTAAGAAATCCTCCCATTTCTTTATTAATTTTCAAAAGGATGGATTTAGGCTCTTGGGGGTGACCTTAATGTACTATATAGTCACATGTAGGTTCTCAACAAGAAGCTTACAAAATGTTATAATGCAGTGTTACTTTGATTAAAAAGTATGAAAAAAAACTCAAAAAATAAAAAGATTCTAAATTATGTTTTTAAATTCGCTGTGGAAATCTTTGTCATTTTGATTAGTACAATTACTTAATACTTTTAGGTCCTTTGTTTTCATATGTGTTATTTCCTCTTTCCTCTTTTTCACACTTCTGCTAATTTATTAAGTCTTTATTGAAGCTCCTCTCCCTTCTGTTTCATTTAAATATTTTCAACACTGTCTGAGACTACCTTTCTATTACAGTCTGTCTTAATCTACCAACATTGTTTATTATTTTACAAAATGATGCTCTTTTGAAGATTAACTAGTTAGTTTTGAATTGTTGTATCAAGAATAATTCTCTTCCCATGGATTCAGATTACTGTTGATAATGTTGTTTGATAAATTTCATTTCTCATACACTGTCTTATACAGCTACCTGGAGAGAAAATTCATTTGTATCTTTTCCATTTAAAATATGCTTTTTTTCTTAAATCTTTCAAAACATTTTTGACTATAACCAATCTCCTGTAGGCAATTTCCCCCCTCAGTTTCTGTTTAAGTGTAATTCTTCAAATACTTAGAAGCATTGTGGGAATAAATTTTACTGTATTTAAGACTGTATATGCTACATGCCATAAATGTAGCCATCCTCTCAACTGATTATAATTCTTTGTTATATATAAGAAATACTGGTATTTCTTACTTAAAATACCATTTTAGTTCCTTGGTGTTATTTCCTTGCATTGAATGCTAAGACAATTATAAGATTCATCTCCTTTGTTTTCCTTCACACCTGGATTGTATTCTCCTCTCTTTTGTCCAGTGCCTGAAAATGTATGTTTCATGTATTTTGTCTAGTTTTCTACTTGTTTAAGGAAGGGCAGAAATCTCATCCCTGTTAGTCCATGTTACTATATAAATGGAAATTCTGTTACATGTTTTGAAAGATTTTTCATAAAAGATTATTGAAGAAGGAAATTTCAATACCTTAATTTAGCTTCAGCTATCTGGAAAAATTCACTTATGGTGAACATGATGTGATGTAAAAGTATAACATTTACTCTGTTATAGCTACTGTGTGGCAGATACCATGGCAAGGATTGTATTTCTATCAATTCAGTTATTCTTTCCTCTGACATTATGAGATAGATTTTATTATTTTTTTTATATTATGATACACCTATGAGACTAGTGAGACACTAGGCAAAGATTTTCCAAAATGTATTCACTAGTAAGTGAAATGCTAGTTGCTAAACTACATATTCTCTATTCAGATGCTGAATTATTAACTAATACATGCTACAGTACTTCCTCAAGAAAGGCTAGTTTTACTTCTCAAAATTCATTTCTTATTAACATGAAGTTATAAAATGATGCGACATATTTTATACTTTGAATGGTGTGTAACAAAAATACTTGTATGGATACCTGCAGCTTCCCTAGACAAGAATATATAGACAAAAACAATCCCTCTCAGTTTCTTTAATACAGTTGAAATTTTTCTTTGACTTACAAGCAGGTATCAAAGGTGTTAATTGAAAATGTGATCATTATCAGATGAGGAAACTCATCTGCATGTTTACTTAGGCCTATTTAATATGTCATAAGGTTTCATATGAAGCTTGAGCACACATGCTTAACTTTATGATAGTATTTGAAAACTATTTAATGTTATAGGTATGCAGAGGTCATCATTGGTACCTGAATATATTAAGTGTTCTAGATGAAGTTTTTATTTTCATATATGATTAATTTTATAGTGACCCATATGTCTTGATTAAAAAATAGTATGTTTGCAAATGTCTTGAAATATCACCATTGGTATTGGAGACCAACACAGAGTCACTAAGTTTCAAACTTTCTTTTACTTTGATTTTTCAGATTGCATTCTCACAACACAATACAATCATGGATCTTGTGCAGTTTTTTGTCACCTTCTTCAGGTAATTTGCTTTTACTGATGTTGAATTTGTTCAAACTATATTCTGTATGTGTTGTCACCTTGTTAGGTAATTTTTCAATTCTTTGATTTTTGAAAAATCATATGGTGTGTCTTGAATAAATTTTATATAACTACCATAGAGCATATACTTGTGAATATATTTGTGCATGGTTATTTTACTGTTGTACTGTATAATGGGTAATGAATTCCGTGGAAAGGGAATGATAGTTTAGTGTTCCCCTGTCACATGAGTAATTAAAAGCTGCTTTAATTAATGAAATTAATAGAATACTCACCATATTGATTTGGTGCAGCTCCCACAATTACATCAATTCAGTTATTTTCTAGACAATATCCTATGTATTCAGCAATATGCTAACGTCTGTAGATGATGGGAAAAAAGGCATGTATTTTCTGTCCTCAAGGAGCTTATGATCTGGAGCAATAACTGGGGCATTGAATAGAGCACATTTTCTAGAATATCAGTTATGTGAGATCTTAACTGTTGGTTCCTAAGAAATGGTTCTGTAATTAAACAACTTTGGAAAATGCTGTGTATATTAAATAGGGCTTGTAGGGGCAGGAAGGGCACAGAGCAGATTCTATGAGTTGAGCAGACGGGTAAAGTAGAGTCCTGGAGCCCCCAGTGGCTTTTTCAGGCTTTTATTGGGATTTTATCAGGTATATGGCAGGCGAGGTGCCGGGGGGCCAGGAGGTTAGCAGGCCTCACAGTCCCCAAGGAATCTTCACACTGGGCTCTCTGGCATTCTGTCGTGGTCTCTTTGTCTCTTGTTCTCTTTTGCTCTCTAGCTTGTTCTCTTCTGGTGGTACCGTTCCACTCTTATAAGCCCCGTCTCAGCCCAGGTGAACCCACCTATGTGGGCCCACACCCCACTCCAGGTATCTGCCATCAGGCATGCATTCAGGACCACAGGGATCCATCATCAATCCTAATGGCGGGATGGCAGAAAAGCCTGACAATCATTTACCCTACAGGACTCTTTTGGTATGCTGTTACCCCACCATAGCTCCTTTTTTTATTTCTGAGTTTTTAATATGCTAATTGAAATGCATCTTTCTAAATGGGTAGAGTTTGTAGTATTTCTCAAAACATGAAAAGTCTTTCCAGGAAACATTTGCTTTTATTTCATGGGCTGTAAATACACATTGGGTGAGGATAAGCTGAGTTCCAGGGACAGGGTATCAGTGTTAACAACGTCCTAGTTCACCTGAATTGGATGGGATGTTATATTTGTTAACGTGACTCTGAGTTGTCCAGCTGATGCTGGTCTTTGGTGCCTTTTGCAAATTAGAAAAATGTGTCCCTTCCTTCTGGCAGCATAGCCCCACATCGTGACATACAACTTTAAAAAATAGAGTGGAGTATAAATTTTGACCTCCACTTACCATGTGGGCTGGGCTGCCTTGTATGGTATGAGCCAGTGCAGCCCAGCCCTTGACCCAGCTGATGTGCCAGGCACTCTCCCTAACACCAAAATACCAGTGTTCACTATCTTGCCCAGACACCCATACGGTACTTGAATTTCTAATTGCTTTCCCCACAGGGGTCAGCAGACATTTTCTGCAAAGGGCCAAATAGTAAATATTTCAGGATTTGTGGGATTTTATGGTCTCTGATGCAACTATGCAACTCAGCTGCTGTAGTGCTAAAGCAGCCCCAGCCAATATGGACCAAATGGGAGTGGCTGTGTTCCAATAAGCTTTATTATAAAAGCAGCTGGTGGGCTGAATCCTGCCTGTGGACATAATGTGCCCTGCCCTGATCTAGCTCATGCCTGGATGCCTTTAACGATGGAAAACGTACCCTTTCCTGAGATAGCGTTTTCTGTCTTTGGATAATTGAGCTGAAATCTGTGTCGCTATAACACCTCTTCAAATTCATCCGCACGGGTCCATCCATAGCAAATCTAATCCCTCATTTCCATTTGCAGTCCTCCAGTTTTCTCAACTCTTTTCTCCACTTCACACATTCAGTTTACTCACTTTTATCAAACCCTTTGCTTTGTTGATCACTTTGCACTGAAAACAATCATTTTTGTCTGAGTCCCTTAAAAAGTTGTCATTTCCAGAATTTAGTATTGTCAACATATTTATCATTAATGTGTGCAGAGTTTATTCAGACTTTAAATTTGTCCCTTGAAAGTTGAGAAAACATCTTAAATATATTTAATGTTTTAGGACTTTGCACTTCTCCATAGAAATGGATTTTAAGACTTAATTAGGTTACATATGTTTTTGGAAAGTATTAGTTACAATTAAATGAACATTATTCAATGCATCAAAATAAAATACTTTTTGATGCAAAATAGTAGGGTGGAAATATACTGAAAATTTCAACTCAAAATTTACAAAGCTGAATATATATATGTGTGTGTGTGTATATATATATATAAAGTACTTAAATCTTTAAGGTTTTATTAAATGCTTTTAAATTTGTGTGACTATTTAAGTTCAGTAGCTCTTTTAGTAAGTAAAAGATGATCCCAGTTATTATGTTGTCATCACGGACAAAGTAAGTAAAATATTCTAACCATTGCATGAGATAAAATATATTTGATGGGTTTTTTTGTCATTTAAATTTTCTCTGTAATGGATGTCAATTAAATAGTTTTAAAATTGTTTCATTGTTAAGGAAAAACATGGATGGGGTATTTTTGAAGTGTTTTTTTTTTTTAAATAAGGTCATTGCTAAATTTTCAAAGATAGTTTTAAACAGGTCAGCATTTGTGGATATCCTTCAGCCAGGCCCCTCTATGTCTGTTATTGCTGTTTTAACCTAGTTGTTGAAATGCTGGAGGTGAACGTGTCAGCTTTTCAGTTTCTCAAGGGCATACCAGTGCACACCTAGGCACACGAGTGCACAAACTCTCTAAGTTTTTTACCTCAATCTGAACATAGTTCTGGTGGTAAGTGGAATTGGGCCAGCGCTAGGGAGACCCTTTACAGACAGCCGTCCTCTGAGCTTCGCTTCTGGCCGTCTTAACTAGGTCTCCTCCCTTCGCTGAACCTCCAGACTTTCATATATAGAACTCAAGGGTTTTGTTGTTGTGAGATTATGTTGTACAATCTAGTAAATTACTGGAAAAATATTTTAAAAATAAACTCTTTTTCTCTGATATGTAAAATGAAAATGTAAGTCTGTAAATATGAAATGTCTGGTGAGTAAAAGGGAGATGAGGTAGGAACACCCGAGTCTTTCAGATGTTGATGGTGGTACTGATCTCCACTGACCCCTGGGATGACCTAAACCTTGTGATTTACTGTCTTCAGCAGATGGGAGGCAGCTCAGGGGTTACCCCATGGTCTTCCCCAGGGTGATAAATCTTACTTCACAGTCCAGAGACAAAATAGAGGGGCTACTCCAGCAACCTGTACATAAATTCTAATTATACATGTGAAGACTAGAGAGATTTGCACTGGGTGAATCCCTCGAACACAGTTGGCCCGCTGTGAGCCGAAACTCAGCCTGGACCTGTTACCTGATCCCAGATGACCCCCCAGTTCTAATGAGGAGCCACAATGGTGGTGTGAGCCACTGGCTGTCCATCATCTCCCCCTGGGTCTGAATAGCTCCTCCTCTTTACCTGCATATGTGCCATGGACCTGCCTTGAATGAGCCCAAATATGCACAGGCCCTCTTGTATAGGAGTCATGCAGAGGTCCCTTTGGAGATCATTTTATATACTTCTCAAGATACACTTTCTTTTATAAACCCAGTGCCTGTTTAGTCAGCTGATTCCAGTTTGTAAATTAGTTCCTCGGGGAACCAGCAGAGGATATGATTTTCTGTTGGGGCAGCACCCTCAATCTCCTCGTCCGCTGTTCTGCTTACAGCTGGATGTCCCAGAGCACTCATGTTGGCTGCCCTAGGTCACCCCAGAGATACTGCATTGTCAGTTCTTCCCGCAGCTCTCTGTGAACCCAGCTCCTTGGTTGCTCCTCCAGTCCCGGCCTTTCTTATGGTCATTGTGGCCCCTGGGTGCTGTCGGTGAAGCATCGGCACTGGACTTGGCTACTTCAGCTTCCCCTCACTTCACATGTCTAGCCTATGCATTACTGCCTATCCTGTGGTCAGCTCTGGTCTGCAGGAAAAAGCCACCACTGTTGTGGTAATATGGGTGCTCTTCTCTCAGAGTTTTCCTAATACCTTGTTTTGTTGGAAAAGAACATAACCCGGCAGTTCTGCTCACTTACGCACTACACCCGTACTAGTACCTTAACCTTTCACTGGCTTCTTTCTTTCTTTCCTTTCTATCTGCCAGGGTAACCCAGGTATTTCTTTTTCATGTTGTTTTGGCCACAGCTTTTTCTTGACTTTTAAGAATCACCCCAGTAACATGTGTCCCATCTCCTGGAGTCCACGGGAGGGTATCGCATCTGTTATTTGAGAATAAGTACCAGAACTTGTGATTCTTGCTCATCTGGTCTTTCCATTTGCTTTGATCCAATACCACTAAAGTCCATTTCTTGCAACAGTCCCCTGCCTTCTGTCAGTTCTTCTAGCTAATTCTTGCAGCTCTTTAAAGTATGTAACCTCTTCCCTCTCTTACCAAGTGAGGATGGATTATGCTGTGGTAAGGTCCCAGTTCTCAGTCTGGCACCAGGAGAGAACAGGGTAGCAGCTTGTTAGGGGAGCATCTGTTGTTTCGATTAGTGGGGAAGGGAATTGTAGCACAAGCATCTTCAGAAGGCTCCATCCAGTTATATTCCGTTCTAGAGATTCTTATCCCGTTTACTGAAGGCACAGTTCTCCCTAACCATGACTCCTGTCTATAAGGGAACTGCTTTGGCTGAGGAGTTTATCATCTCTGGAGCTCTGCGCTCTAACAACCAGACCATCAGCCTGCTGCTCATCCATATTGGCTCTCCACAGTCAGGCATTTTAAAGCTGTAAAAGAGACCCTCAAGCTCTTGTATTTAGTCAGTAATGCTTGTTAATGGCCTTCAGTTTTTCATTATCCCTCTGCAGGTACTAATATG